GCATTAGTTCTCCAGTTGCCTGATAAAGATTACGTTGAGAAAGCATTCTGCTATTAAAAGCCCTCTTCCCCCCTCCTTCACTGAAATATAGCCTGACATTCAAAACCAGAGGCCTGCTTTTACCAGGTATTTCTTTATAAAAGAGATCCTAATCTCAATAAGATAAACTGCTTAAATAAAACTTGGTGAAAGAACAGGCTGAATAGCAGATTATGCACTAACTATTTTAAAATAGTCTGCTTTTCAACAATTCTGTACTTGTATCGTCAAGGAAGCTGTTGTTTTAGACATTATCCGAGCATCCATTGACTTGGATACTGTTTATTTTTTTAAATATTAATTAGTATTGTATCGAGAAAAGTTGCTTTAACTTTTGTTTATAGGCAAAAATTAGGAAGGAATAAGTAAACAGAACTTCTTCATCCTTCTAATCCTTTTCCCCCCTCTATATTTAATTTACTAGTTCAACTTCTAAGCATTACATCTTAGTCGTCTCAAATGCAATGCATTACGTAAGGAATCCAGGTGGCACAGATCAACTCCATTCACTCAAGGATGAAAAACAAATGCATATAAATCAGCGGTGTCAAACTCGCAGCGTCACGTTGCCGTCATATGACATTTTGTGACTTTTTTTTCCTTCACGGAGCTGGGGTGGACATGGCCTGTGCATGACGCATCCAGCCCACGGGCCACCAGTTTGACACCCCTGATATAAACATAAATATATATATATATACGCCATTTTAAAGATAAGGAGAAACTAAAACCACTTTTAACCTATTTTATGTTTGTATATGTCTGCTTGACTCAAGAAAATAATCTGCTGTATAGCTCTTCCAGTAGTAAAATAACTTAAGCTCCATGCTGTCACAATTGTTCCTTTTAAACTAAAGATGTCTGTTGGTTCACTCCCCCCTTACAGCTAGTCCTCAACTTACAATAGTTCATTTAGCGACCATTCAAAGTTATAGCAGTAATGAAAAAAATGATTTATGACTGTTTTTCACACTTATGACCATTATGGCATCCCTATAGACACATGATCAAACTTCATGCGCTTGGCAACTGACTCATATTCATGACAGTTGCATCTGATCACCTTCTAACAAGCAAAGTCAATGGGAAAGCCAGATTCACTTAGCAACTGTATTATTAATTTAACAACTACAGTGATTCACTTAACAAATGTGGCAAGAAAGGTCATAAAATGGGGCAAAGCTCACTTACCGACTGCTTTGTTTAGCAACAGAAATTTTGGGCTCAATTATGGTCATAATTCAAGGACTACCCGTATTAAATAATGAGGTTGGGAGGCAAAATTAATATTTAATTTTGTGGAAATGTTTCTAAAAATTTTGCTAAAATTAGACTCAAATTATTTCTATGATAAACTCTTATAAGGTGATAAATTTTAGTCTTAAATTTATGAACAAGTCAAGACACTCAGTGGCCTTCAGTAATTAATCCTGCTATTGATTTACTATATATTTTTCCTAACATTCATTGTTGCAACATTTAAAACTACTTCAGTTTCTGTTGTTGGATTTCCTAATGCCTAAAGTATATTTAATTTCAAATAAACTATTATAGTTTTAATTAAAGTATTAAAAAAAATAAAATTTGCATGGTCTGAAAGTTAACAGCACAGCAAAACATTTCAAAGAATCCTACAATTAAAGTGCTTTTATTCAAGTCAGATCAGTATTTCAAAGTTTTTCCTATAGATTATCTTTATTTATACAAATCTCTTTCTGGGTAAGAATATTGAATACATATGTTTAAAGTTGGGGTTTTCTGCATAAGTTTAATTTGTTTTTCTTCTTCATATATTGTTTTTAACATTCTGGATTTTTTTAAATGTTTCAGCAATTAAGAACAGTATAGCATTACTTTATTTAGAAAATATATTTAGCTTTATTCATTCCTTTACTGAAGTGGCATGATTAAAGTAATATATTAACTTTAAATGGATCTAACTTGCAAACAATTGTGGAAAGTATTTACATTTTTATTGATAATTACAGTATTCAACTTTAGAATATTTCCCTAAGCTAAACATAATTAAATAAATTCAATAATTTCTTGCTGAAAATTATGTTCTTTGGGTGAATATTAAATAACTTTCTGAAATATTTTCCTCTTAGAAAAATCCCTATATTTACTTTACTTTACTTTATTCAAATTTCTATACCGCCCTTCTCCTTTCGGACTCAGGGCGATGAACAGCCAAGATAAAAACATCTATACAAAACATCACAGTTAAAAATAAAGTTAAAATAATTTATAAATTTGGCCCATAATTTAAAACTTGTCAATTAAAATCAATATTAAAATTTTAAAACTAACCCTAAAATCAAGACAGACCGGCTAACTGGAAAAAATGAGTTTTTAGGGCCCGACGAAAAATCCAAAGGTCGGAGATCACTCGTATCTCTGGGGGTAGATTGTTCCATAGGGTAGGTGCCACCACAGAGAAGGCTCTCCTCCTGGGGGTCGTCAGCCGGCATTTTCTGGCCGACGGCACCCTGAGGAAGCCCTCTCTGTGGGAGTGAACCGGCCGGTGGGAGGCTATTGGTGGCAGAAGGTGGTCCTGTAAGTACCCTGGCCCTAAGCCATGGAGCGCTTTAAAGGTGACCAACACCTTGAAGCGCACCCGGAAGTCCACCGGAAGCCAATGCAGCTCGCGCAGGAGAGGAGTCACATGGGAGCGCCCCGTCGCTCCCATAATCCCCCGCGCAGCCGCATTCTGCACCAGTTGGAGCCTCCGGGTGTACCCCAAGGGGAGCCCCATGTAGAGAGCGTTACAATAGTCCAGACGAGAAGTGACGAGTGCTTGAGTGACCGTGCGTAGGGAGTCCCGGTCCAGAAAGGGGCGCAACTGGCGTATCAGGCGAACCTGACAAAAAGCCCCCCTGGCTGTCATATGCCCTTCTAAAGACAGCCGCGCATCCAGGAGGACACCTTGTCGTTTGTTTCTAAACGACAAAATATATACTGACATGCATAAATGCAGATCTATATACAAGCACAAAAGGAAAAGAAAGCAAATTAATTCAAAATTATTTAATAAAAATGTAAATGCAGAGGATATGATCTACAAAATTAACATATTCCATCCAGACAATAATTAAGATCATTCAGAATAGGAAATTCAAACTTTAAGCAAAGTATAAACTTCATATTTGGAATGTCCTGCCTTTAAATTTGGTGTGACAAATTTATTTTATGCAGTAGGAATATACAGTAAATGGAATTTATTACTTTATTGTAGCTTTGTAAGAATTTTTCAAAACTTTTTGATGTAATTATTTATTTATGTATATATGTATTATATATATGCATATATACATGTACACACACACATACATACACAAAAGTATGTATGGGAAATATTAAAATAATAAATAAACATGATACTTTTCTAAACTCTATTTCCATTGTTTCTAAGCATTAAATTGATTTTGTCTGGGGCTCGTTATTCAAATGCATAAGCAGCTTGCATGCATGCTGTTTGTTTTAGTTGAACAAAATGATAGCTTTTGCATCCAGAGAGTTAAACATTGACTTGGATTCTATGAGTATAAACAAGTAGGGTATCTTCTCTGTACTTGTTATGCCTGTGCTTGCATTAAAATCCACATGGACTGAGAAAACACTTTTAAATAAACTATTTTGTGAGAAGTTATTCACTTGGACACTGGCATTAGTCGAGCCTCGCCTTGTTTAGGTGTAGTTCCTCCATTAACAGAAAACCAAATAGTCCTAATTGTGAAAAGACTAGACTACTTAGAGTTTGGTGGATTCAGTGGCAGACATGTGAGGACTAGGAAGTATGATAAACGAACAGATATGGGGAAAGCATTTGTAATGGACAAAGTTGGCGGACACTTCTGGAGCAGTAGTTAAAGCTCAGCCAGTAGAGAAGGAAGAGAAGGGTTGGTCTAAGTAACATTGAATCAGGTTCATTCAACTCATTTGAATGTTACTAAACTATCTAACAGCTGTGGTGGCGCAGTGGTCAGGATGCATATTGCAGGTTAACTCTGCTCACATTGCCAGGAGTTTGATTCTCTCAATCCTGACCGGTTCAAGGTTGACTCAGCCTTCCATCCTTCCAAGGTCGGTAAAATGAGGAACCCAGTCAAAATGCTGACTCTGTAAACCACTTAGAAAGGGTTATAAAGCACTGTGAAGCAGTATATAAGTCTAAGTGCTATTGCTATTGCTATCCTTACTTAGTAACAGAACTGAGAACATTTGCACAGGGTTACTTCTGTGATTTGGTCTCTTTAATAGGCAGGTGCCTCTCTCTTGTCTTTCATCAGTATTAAATTGACTTTAGTGAAGCAAAGATTATTACTTTGAATGAATAGAACAGTCTTGCTTGACACACATCCAGCCAAATGCATATTAGAGGACCGTGCAAAGACAGTTCCCTTTTGTTAGAACAGGTATGATAGGGATTTTTTTTAATAATATGATTCCATATTTGGTGCCAAACAATAATTCACTTGAGGACTGGAGCAGATTGGCATGTGGCACAAAATGGAGGCATCCCTATTAAACCAATATTTTAAATTAATTGTTCTAGTAATCCAACTTGGATTAGTGGTAATGGCACATTCTCAAAGTATACTTTTTTGTCTATTTGGTACTGTGCTTTCAAAGGCTGGTTTTATATTCTTAGCTTTGTGGAGTATTGTGATTCCAGTGAAATCAATGTGCCCTTTTCTTTAGAGCTTTCAGATTCTTGGCTAATGCATTATGGAAAGAATATTAGCTTTGGCTGCACCCCAGGCCTTAGCCTCAACCAACAGTCAGCTAAAATCCCTGCCCTTTCAGTGTAACCGATGGTGATTTGAAAAAGAGTAGGGAAGATTAAGTGGGCCAGGATGGTTTTTTTTTCCATGACTTAATATTGTGAAAGATATTCAGTTGTAGCATAAATAATAAACAATTTGTACATGGTTTTTAGTTTTGCCTTTTTTTCCTTACAGTTTAAAAGAACATCACCGTTCTGCCATTAAAGTGATACGCCGTATGCAGTATTTTGTGGCAAAGAAGAAATTTCAAGTGAGTTGTTGACAAAGTACTTTTTTAAAAGAAATCCCCTTTTTTCTCTTTTTTTTTTTTTTCTGTTCTTGCTTCTTTTCAGTCTTAAACAAGGAAAGGCCAGGGAAATCCATTTTAATATCAGCGAGCTACTGCTACTCTTCTCTCTATTCTTCAGTAGGGTGACTGTTTATCAGCAAGTTAGTCAACTGTGGATGCAATGGGAACAGGCTAAGTTTCTGAAATGCAGCCTGAATTAAAATGTTATTTTCTACTAATGGACTTGACCTTTCCCCTTTTGTTATCTCTGTCTCCTTCCAATGCAAACAGTCTCATGTGTCTTCGTTAATTCTGAGCTGCGTGGGACTGATTTAATGGACCTAGAGATTAGAACTCTACCTTAGCCTCGTTTCTATCTCACATTAGCTGAGATTCTGTTACAAAGCCTAGAACCAAAATTAACATTTCTTGGGATTATAGCCATATTGTCCTGAATTTTTCATAATATTGTTTACCTTGGAATGTAATAGCATAGACAGAACTGTGTTTATTGCAAGCAAACAAGCAAAGAATGAGTAAACTATTCTAGCATGATTCAGCAAGTGAAAAAATAATAATGGTTGAATTGAAATACTAGTTTAACAAAAGGGTCTATGGAACAGATTTTAGTAGTACATAATTATTATTGCATATTTTATTTTTCCCTCTGCCCCCTTTGCCAATCTAGAAAGAGACAATTGCACTGAGAAGTAATAGAAATCTTACTCAGCCTTTCTGTCTAGATTCTAAAATTCAGCAAACGTTTTCTATAAACTTTTAAACACATATTTCCAACCGAAAGGGTTGAAAACAATGCTTTTTTTAAAAAAAAAAAGTTATACATTCACAGGAAGTATAATTCTGTATTTGATTATTTCCTAATACTCCTAGGGACTCAGAGCAACCACAAATCGTGGCTAGAGAAAGTTTTCAACAAAAAGTGTAGGAGGCTTTAGTCTGATGAAGATTTTATAAATACATATAAAAAATGTATGCTTCTTAATGATTAAGCAGAAGTAGGCACCCCATTTTACTATTGTGATTATGGTATGGTTGTACCTAAAGCCACACAAATCCTCAGAGATCACATTTGATAATTTACAAAAACTTCAGCTATATTCATCTCCCAACAACAGGGAATTTAGGGACTATGGAGGTTCTCAGTCATCATGGTTGTCCCAAACCATCATCATGGTTGTCATCATGGCTGTTTTTTCAACTGAACTTTCTGGTTTTTCTTTGAAGACATTTCGCTTCTCATCCAAGAAGCTTCTTCAGCTCAGGGAGCTCAGGCTTTTGTTTTTGAAATTACAAAGCAGATTTTAATCAAGATAATGGTAAATTAATAAAACTGGATAATAATAATATCATCATTGATTGGAAACAGCATAGAAAAAAGAAAATGCAACAATTTGCATAGCCATTCAATTTCTCTACAGTTTCAGCCTTAGAGCATACTTCAGTTTACTGGGGAAGGAAATGAATGGTATTATCAGGACTAGTAAAGAAATTTATTTCCTTCTATCTGGTTTCATCAAAGGAAGAGTTGAGAAGAAGAGCCATACCATCAGTTCTACTACTACAATCATCAAGTTCTTTCTTACACAAACTCCAAACATAATTTTTTTTATTGATTTAATTGAGCAAAATAGAATTTATGCTGGAACATTTCAGGTTTCTTTACATCTTTTTTTTCCATCTTTCCAATTAAAATTCAGCTGAGCTGTTTGCAGTCACAGTCTTTAATCACGTAAAGCTGTGCAATCAGTACAACTAAGAAATGGAATTTGGAACTGGTAAACTGGTAAAAAAAAATATTAAAATTTCTCTTCTCTAATGACTACCAGAAAATCGTTTTCAACATCTGATCCACAAAATGAGACCTATCTATAATCAGAGGTAGTGACTTAAGTGTTCAAGGAGCAGTAGAATTCCAAAGAATCATCTTACAAGTATAAATATCTACCTATTGTGCTATTTCTTTTTGGGATAAACAATGTTATGCAAAACATACAATATAAAGTAATAAAATAATATAAGGCAGGAAGTATGGGGAAAGAAAGTTAACTAAAACTAAACACTATTTACTATACTGCTCCATCCTTAGATATCCACTAAATCTTAATTAATTAATATATTGTCTTTTGTTCTTTGAATTTCTCATCTTTTTCTTGTTGATGAACTAATGAATTCTGTTCAACCATACCTTTCATTCCTCTTTCCTCTAAAATCTTCATATTTGTTTCTGTGTTCAGTCCATTTTTAATGAACTGCTTTCTCTCCGTTTGAGCATCTCTCCTGTTTTTTTCCACTTCAATTAACTTTTCTACATCTATATCCATACATTTTTTCCACTTGTTTCAATAAACATTCTTTACCACAGACTACATACTGGCTTCTATTTTTTTTATCCATACTTGTATATCTTATAATTTCTCTATTTCCCTATGCTTAGTAAAAATTCTATCAAATTACAAAATAACATCTGTTTGCTTCAATTTGTTGCTATTTATATATAGCTTGCAACCATTCACTCAATTCCCTATCAAAACAATTTCCTTAGTCATTGATTCATTAATGTTTAATTCCCCTACTCCCTTGTTGTATCAGTCTATCTAGAAATCTTTCAGTTTCTTAGCAAACAATGCAACACTGTCTGCATAAAAAGTCCACTTGCCTTCATATCCCCAATTAGCATACCTCATAATAATCTTTCGTTATTCATCTATATATAAGTGCATTAAGGAGCTCATGGACACCACACATCCTTGCCTTGGTCATTGTTTCAAGTTGAACTATTCCCTAAGCATTCCGTTTGTTGTCACGTATGTTTTACTTCCTTCATATAGCATTCATATCTCATTCACAAACATCCTTCAAGTCTGTATTCATGCAAAATATTTCATATTTCAAATCTCTTATCATATGCTTTCTATAAATCAACAGGCATACATTAAAACTTTGTCACATTCACATAAGGAGGCTAAGGCTTTGCTAAAGTTCAAATATCTGTTTGGCGCACTTCCTGCTTTGACTAAAGTTATGCTATATATGCCAAAAGTTTTTTTTCACAGTCATGTCTTACATGCTTTTGATCAGAATTCAGCACTTGATAAATTAATCCTTCTGTAGTTTTGCATTCTCTCTTGTTAACATTCTGTTTTTGTAAAGGAGTGATAATGGCATTCTTCCAATCATCAGCCATGCCTACAGTCTTTGCATAGACAATTAATCAAGTCATGCAGCCATTCCATAAGCAAACCACATTGATATTTTAACACTGATATGTTGTCTTTCATTTATTAAAACAGATTTGCCAAATGTTTGAAAGAGAGGAACATCAAGAAACAGGGAGCACAGAACTCCAAAATCTGTAGGAATATTCTGGAATCCTCATTTTATAAAGCAGCGTCTCCAATTTAGAGAGCAGCATTTCAGATATATAGTAGATAGTAACTTCAGAACATCCTGCTTTAATTTAATATTTCTTGAGGGCAACAGGTTAGGGGAAAACTCTCATAGTACAGTCTAATATTTTTATAGTATGGTTAGTCACTTCTTTAATGTTGATCCAGAATGCAGCCACACGAGTTATAGTGGGTGCGCCTAGATACACCCACATTACACCAATTCTCTACGAGCTGCACTGGCTCCCTATTGGTCTCTGGGTACAATTCAAGGTGTTGGTCATTACCTTTAATGCCCTATATGGCTCAGGGCCAGGCTATCTTCGAGACCGCTTTCTACCACATAGCTCCCAGCGACCGGTAAGATCCCACAGAGTTGGTCTCCTCCGGGTCCCGTCAGCTAAACAATGCCGGCTGGCAGGCCCGCGGGGGAGGGCCTTCTCTGTGGCTGCCCCGGCTCTCTGGAACGAATTACCTCCTGCGGTCCGGACTGCCCCCAGCCTATTGGCTTTCTGCAAAGCGGTGAAGACCTGGCTCTTCTGGCAGGCCTGGGACCATTGATCTCATTATAATGATCTTGCGAGACCCGGCCACAAATTGGAGTGCATGTGTTTTAACGTTTTTAAAGTTTTTAATGTTTTAATGTTTTTCTTTTTAACATTTTTTATGGGATTGTTCGCATTGTTTTATTCTTTGTTGATGCCCAGAGTCCCTTGGGAGTTGGGCGGCATAGAAATGCGTCAAAATAAATAAAATAAATAAATAAATAATAAACATTTATTTAAGAATATAAGAAGAACTATATCCCATCAAACCGAAGGTCCATCGAATGCAGCTTCCTGCAGTAATAAACCGGATATCTCTGGGATATCTACGAGCAGGACATGACCACTAGAACAGTTACTAAAATAAATAATAAATGTTACTGTACAAGTTTAGGGCCCCAGTAATAACAGTGTCTATTGTGGCTTTCAGTGATGTCACTAGATGCTCTTGATGTATTTATAGCTTTAGATTTCAAAGTATCACCACAAACTGGGCAGTGTTTTATACGTAATTCAGTTACCTTGTTATCAATCAAGAACTGTGTATGCAATTTTCTGTAATCACTTCAGAGGGCTTTCTGGCAAACAAAATAGTTCAAAGTTCTTTGTACTTCAAAGAATGTTACACACGCTTGGACTTGACCATTGTTTGGTTATACTACTCAGAACTTCCTGCAGCTGGTACTTCCCCTTTTGCTTTTCCATTTTGACTCTGAGGGAAACTTTGGAGAAGAATAGCATGCCTCAGCATGAAAGGATAGAGAACGACAGAGTGTGCCATTCTCCAGCATGCCTTCTGCAAGAGTTTTCCTCATGTTACCTTGCTCCCCAGGAGCAAGCGTCTTTTAATTTCTTGGCTGCAGTCCCCATCTGCAGTGATCTTGGAGCCCAGGAAAATAAAATCTGTCACTACCTCTATTTCTTCCCCATCTATTTGCCAGGAATTGAGAGGGCTCAATGCCATGATCTTAGTTTTCTTAATATTGAGTTTCAAGCCAACTTTTGCACTCTTCTTTTTCACCAGCGTCAAGAGGCTCTTTAGTTCCTCTTTGCTTTCTGCCATTAGAGTCAGGTATCATCTGCATATCTGAGGTTGTTGATATTTCTCCCAGCAATCTTAATTCCAACTTTTGATTCATCTAGCCCCGTCTTTCTCATGATGTACTCTCCATATAAGTTAAATAGGCAGGGTGACGGTATTCAGCCTTGCCGGACTCCTTTCCCAATTTTGAACCAATCAGTGGTTCCATGTCCAGTTCTCACTGTTGCTTCTTGACCCGCATATAGGTTTCTCAAGAAACAAATAAGATGGTCTGATACTCCCATCTTTTTAAGAACTTGACACAATTTGTTGTGATCCACACAATCAAAGGCTTTAGCATAGTCAATGAAGCAGAAATAGATGTTTTTCTGGAACTCCCTAGCTTTCTCCATGATCCAGCATATGTTGGCAATTTGATCTCTAGTTCCTCTCGGCTCTCTAAGCCACCTTTGCGGATACCAGGCAGAACAAACCTTCCAGATGCTGAGTGGTGATTCAAACCCGGTTTATTACACGCTACAATGGTGGCTGTTAGAAGATCCCAGAATGCAAATGGTGTAAAGGTGGCACTAAGAGCTTCTGCCTCTCAGTGCCCTTTTATAGCCCCGCCTTGCTCCTCTGCAAGTAGGCGTCAGCTTGTTGTTCCTCAGCTGTTTGACGGTTGTTTCAAATCTACCACGCAACACCAGCACGCCGTCGCTCACTCTGACGTCATCAGGATGCACCAAACCAACCTGACAGTCTTGATGGCTCTTGACAGCTCTGCTGTTTCCCGCACACTTCCACTATTTCCCGAGCACTGTTATGATTCCACCACCCACACCCGTGCTCCATTTGTCTCCTCTGTCGCCGTACTATCCCCACCACCATCACCCATGCCCAAGGTTCCATGGTATTTGTACATTTCCATGTCACGCCGATCTGTCCCCCACAGATGGTCTTGTGTGGCCTCTTCGAAATCCTGCCTGTACTTCTGGTAGTTCTCAATCCACATACTGCTGGAGCCTAGCTTGTAAGATTTTAAGCATAACTTTACTAGCATGTGAAATGAGTGCAATGGTACGATAGTTTGAACATTCTTTGGCATTGCCTTTCTTTGGAATTGGAATGTAAACTGACCTTTTCCAATCCTGTGGCCACTGTTGAGTTTTCCAAATTTGCTGGCAAATTGAGTGTAGCACTTTTACTGCATCCTCTTTTAAGATTTTGAATAGCTCAGCTGGAATACTGTCACCTCCACTAGCTTTGTTGTTGCTCAGATTTCCTAAGGCCCATTTGACTTCACATTCTAGGATGTCTGGCTCGTGACCACCCCATCATGGTTATCAGGGACGTTAAGCTCGTTCTTGTATAGTTCTTCTGTGTAATTTTGCCACCTCTTCTTAATCTCTTCTGCCTCTGTTATGTCCCTGCCATTTTGGTCCTTTATCATGCCCATCTTTGCCTGAAATTTTGCAATGAGAAGCTCATAATCTGAGCTATAATCAGCTCTTGGTCTTGTTTTTACTGACTGTAAAAACAAGGTTCCAGGTTCCTATGGAGAAAAAGTCTTTACAGCATCAGACTTTCCTTTCACCACCAGATGCATCCACAGCTGAGCGTCTTTTTGGCTTTGGCCCAGTCGCTTCACTGTTTCTGGCGCTACTAGTACTAGCCCTCTGCTCTTCCCCAGTAGCATATTGGACACCTTCCGACTTGAGGGACTTATCTTCCGGCATCATATCTTTTTTCCTTTTGGTACTATCCATGGGGTTTTCATGGCAAAGATACTGGAGTGGGTTGCCATTTCCTTCTCCAGTGGATCACGTTTTGTCAGAACTCTCTGCTAAGATCTGTCCGTCTTGGGTGGCCCTGCACGGCATAGCTCATAGCTTCATTTAGCTACGCAAGCCCCTTCACCACGACAAGGCAGTAATCCATGAAGGGGCATGCCATGGTAGGAGGACACTATTTTACCTAACAGGTAAAACTCTTTGGAGTCCAGTCTAATTTATTATAACTTTAGCTATTAAATTCTATGATTTAGATCTATGATTTCTATGAAATTCTATGATGCAATCTGTTAAGGAGTTTGGAGCAGGGTGATTTCTATTTTCCCAGATGCATACATTCAGCTGCCTTCTAGCATAAGAAACTGTGAGGCCACTTTAACATTCAGTAATTTTAAAATAGGTTGTTGTATCATTTCCTAAAATCCCTAATTTTTGTATGTTATACGAAGCACTTCAATTTAAAAGTAGATGGAGAATTTTTTTTTAACATTTATAAAAAGATGAAAGAATTTAAAGTGTACTGAACAACAATACTGTACATCATATGCGGTGGTGGATTTATTCCAAATACTACCCAATGGAATTTATGTTCAAATTAGAAAAATCTCCGCATTACCATGTTATAATAGATGGGGGGGGAGAGAAGGAGAGAGAGACTGACTCACAGCAGGCTGTTATCAACACGGTGCCTTTTATGGGGTGAGATGATAAGTGGAGAATATGTAACATATCAGAGATAGTGCGACCACTAAGTAAATTATCATCACTCTCACAACTTTATAACCAATAACAAAAAAGATCAGTTTTTAAACCAACTTCACTGATTTACAGTTTGTTTCTAGGCCTATTCTTTTATATTCAGTGCTCTAAATACATTATGGCACAATATTTAACAAACTAGTTCCTTAACTCATGAAAAGGGATTTCTACATGTCCAGCCATCATCTAGGTGTATCACTAAAACACAAGGAATAACCATTTTAATGAAGAACCTGAGTTATACCCTTTAGTCCTTATCCTTATTATGTAAAATTATATGAAAAAGCTGTGAAAATGAAAAGGCTAGTTTTCTATTTTTCCTTATTTCAACTAATAGCCACATAGGCATGGCATACTATAATGAGATTTGAAATACTATTATAGTTATTATTTTCTATTTTCACAGCAAGCTAGAAAGCCTTATGATGTACGTGATGTGATAGAACAATATTCTCAGGGTCATCTCAACTTAATGGTCCGAATAAAAGAGCTTCAAAGAAGGTATGGTCCAGAATTCATCTTCTAAACTTAATGATTTTTTTAAAAAGTATATTCTGAACATGCACGGACAAATTGCAGCCCACGGTATCCACACTGTCCCACATTAAATGCCATCAATTTTTAATTGTGGAAACAATTTCTGCCACAGTATCTTACAAATATGAAGGATTAAAGAGTGCCCCATGATGTTTCCCTAACATACTTCCTTACCTGCATGGAACTTCAATGTTAATGTATCCTGTCTGATCACACCCTTAGGAAAAGGAATTAAAAAGAATGCAATAGGCAGTAGAAGTGGGTTAGAAAATTCGGCATGACAGGACTTGGGAGTATTTTCATATTGAGAAGGTTAACAGATTGCTCTAAGCCATGGTGTGTTATAACTAGGCTTTACTGAATAAGTTACTGTTGGCTGGATTCTTACAATATGCTAAGCCATAAATTATGTTTACAAACCATAATGGCTGGGTTGACAGGACATACTAATCCAAATCCAAACATGCCATGATATGACTTAGAACAGGGGTCTCCAAACTTGGCAACTTTAAGACTTGTGGACATTAACTCCCAGAATTCCCCAGCCAGCATGGCTGGCTAACGAATTCTGGGAGTCAAATTCCAAAACAAAAAAGTTGCCAACTTTGGAGACCCCTGACTTAGAGTGATGCATGAACCCAAACTATCCCATTTTTCTCCTGTCTTCCCTTTTATTTTCTTCAACTTGATTGTAAGATCTTCACAAATAAGAACCATCATCCTTCATCTCCCATGTATTTAATTTATTCTATCATTTATTCTATCGATTAGTGTCTTTTGAGCATAGCAAAAAAAAAAAAAACAACCCACAGGACAAAATTACATTAAAAGAACATTGTTTTAAAATTGCTTTATTGCTGCCAATCAATATTTGGAACTCATTAATTCAACATCTCCATATCTTTGTGGAAGTGTTAATATCAGAAAGTGTTAACAGACAACACTAAATATTTAGTGAATGAATAGCTTCTTTATGGAGCAGTTTTTAGATCACATACAATATCTCTAAAAATCACAATAAAAAGTTCAAAGCATATTTTGCAAATAAACCAATAACTGTAAGACCTTCTTTCATTATTGGTAGGAATGTACAAAACAATTACAATTGTTTTTAGCTGCCCATTTTTTACCTGGGGGAAAATGTTTGGTTTCTTACTTTAAAAAAATTTCTTTCTCTCTAGATTGGACCAATCTATAGGAAAGCCATCACTATTTATTTCTCTCTCAGGTAAGTCACCATCCTAGAAAAGCACAGAATGTATCTTCAATATGTTACAAGTCAAGTACTTTTCAAAAAAAAAAAAGTCTCATAGAAATAGCAACTTGTTCAACCAATGGACAAACCAATGACAAAAAAAAAATCAAAACAGAATCAAAAGCACTGAATGAATTATATTTAAAAGAAATTAATTGAAATAGCTAATACAATTATTCTCATGCTTTTAGTAATTTTTGGCTTCTGCCAAGTTACAATTAACATTGTGAAAGTTATAGTTCAATAGCACTAACTTGGGGATTCTGTGGAATTCATCCAAGGTTTTGGGTAGTACATAGATCCCTACTGGATACAGCAATTGAATGAGTTGTGCTCATCTTTATAGTTTTCATAATTTACAATGAAACCATAGTTTCTCTGTACTTCTTTTGTGGGAAATCAGAATCCAAATAAACATTCTATAAAACCCATGAATGTATACTAACTTTTCATGGATGATGATAATGATCATCAATAAGCACACCAACATACTTCAAGAGGTAAGTCTCACTCTTATTCTGTACTTCGTTTTGGTGTTTTTGAATCAATCTTGACAATTTTAAGGACAGATAGAAGTGGTTTTCCATTGCTACATTCTGGGATGTTTTTCAGTTTCCCAGTCTAGGGCTGAGAGAATGTAAGTGGCTCAGAGTTACTCAGCAGTAACTTATGTGCCTAAGAGAGATCTATCCTCAGAGACATCTAAGGCAGTGGTGAAATTCAGCCGGTTCTATCTGGATTGCGCGATCCGGTAGCGCTGGCAGCAGGAGGCTCCACCCACCCACCCAGATGTCATCACGTCCCATTTTTTACCCTCTGCGCATGCGTGGAGGAGGCCTGCGTGCTTACATTTGCAAACTGGTAGCGAAGGTAAGTGAATACCACCCCTGACCTAAGGGTCTCTCTGCTCTTAGTCCAACACCTTAACCATACACCACATGGACTCTCACTCATGCTCTACTGTACTTTTCAGCTAAATTAGTGTTAAATTTAATTTAAATTTATTAAATTGAATGCATATATTCTTCTGATTTAAAGCATAACATGAACTTGAGTCCATTCAAGGCAAGGCTTGAATTGATGCTAATAAAGGAATAAAAAAAAACTACTGTTAATGTAATAAAATTACCCATCTGTCAGCAGGGTTCAATTAAGTAGCTCTGCTAGACTAGTTAAATGCAATCGTATGGCTTCATTCTATACTATTGTAACACTTGATATTTATCTAGAAGTGTCCTTTCTATGCAGAAAAAAATAAAGATCGAGGGACTAATACAGTTGGTGCCCGGCTGAACAGAGTCGAAGACAAGGTAGGCCTAAATTAGACTTTCAATAATAGTTGTATTTTACTGCATGACACAAGCATACAGCACATTCTTTTCCTTCCTGATTATTAAAAAAAATGCAACCTAATTGTGAGAACATGAACATAGGCAAGCAATTTAACAAAGGCAAATTTGTAGAAAATAAAAATATAATTCCATATATTTTTTGTTAGAGGAAAGAACATTTGTCATATAATGAGATTTTGAAAATTTTGAGAGCACAAAATGATTTTAACTGATCGAAATACTGTCTGTAATTGTTTGGAAGGATGATGTTTTTATGTTGTTTTTGTTAAAAAAATAAACTTTTTGCAATATATATATTTATATGTAATTCCATATAAAGATTTCATTTCTAATGAATTGTTTGAAAATGGAAATGGAGAATATGAACTATAACATTTTGTAGTATCTGCAGATGGAGATATATTGTTGAGTATGTTTAAATTGCTTGTGGTAGTCCCACCGATTTAAAGCATGTAATCTAGTTTAAGGGGTTATTAATTTAATAATTTAAATCAATTGAAATATTTGTTTTTGTGCTATGCCCTATCTTCCTTCTCATAAAAGGGAAATTTAATATAAATATGCAGTATGTTATAGTACATTGAGCAATTAAAATGCAGTCTAAAGTCTGCAGTTATTCATATGTCCTTACTTGTTTTAGCTTATTTATACAATTTCTTCTGATTACAATGGGAAGAAAGTTACATCACTGTAGAGCTGACAGACAGTTGAAAGAAAATCTTTCCCAAAAGGCTTGGCATTAAATATAAACAAGACAGAGAAAGAAAGAGAAAAGGATGAGAATTGCTAATAATTTAACCAAAACAATGAATATTTTCCCATAATGAAACAACATAGTCACACAAGTGAAAGGAACCTGAAAGGATATAATAATTCTAGAAGAGCAATTTTTTTTTATTCATAAAACCTTTTGCTTTAAAATTTGCTTTACTCTGGAAAATCAATTGATACCTTTTTATTCTTTTGTTTATTTCAGCTTTGCTTTTATTTATTTATTTTATTTATTTTTATTTTATTTATTTCATATTTATTTTTATGTAAACATTGTTAAAAACATTGATGATGGAAAGGCATTTTTAATGGTAGAAAGTAGGACAGAAATAAGTGTGTGTTGTACACTGGTAGTACACATTTATGAATCGATCTGATCTGTTAACTATTGTTCATATCTTGGTTATAGTGCAATGGGCTTTATATAGGGTTGTTCTGAAGGAGTATTCAGTAACTACAAATGCTACAAAATACGGTTGAACGCACAGGACTGTGATTTTATGTCTCCAATATTAAAAGATCTGTATTTTTTTTATTGTAAATGACCCTGGGTCACGTAGGTGAGATGGGTGGTGTAGAAGTGGGATGGATGGATGGATGGATGGATGGATGGATGGATGGATGGATGGATTGAATAAAGAAAGAAAGAAAGAAAGAAAGAAAGAAAGAAAGAAAGAAAGAAAGAAAGAAAGAAAGAAAGAAAGAAAGAAAGAAAGAATTGTTAGCTGTATCACAAGCTCAATTCATGATATTGGCATTTACTTTTAAAATAGAAACAAGGGAGTAACCATATCATTATATATCTGCATGATTATTAAGGATTGTCAGATTGTCCCTCTTTTGGGAATACCCCACTTGTAGAGGTCTGTTTTGGGAGAATATACATGTAAGGCCTTTCTTTGTCATCATTCTCTAGTTTTTAAATTATTCAAAATTTCAAAATGAGGTTTCATTGCTAGTCTCAGGTAATCAAATAGAGTTAAGATACTTCTCTTTAATCCTTTTAACTAGTTGTGTGACTTATAGGCCAATGCTAAACATGAACTAAGACAAAAAGGAAAAGGTTCATCAAAGACCTTATGGTCTTCAAAGAAAGCTGGAAAGGCGGTGAGCTACTATTGTTTGGTTAGCTAATTAGTTTGGAATATTTTCATATTTTTGAGCATATTTCTTTTTTATTTTATGCTTGGGGGTGAGCTATGCCTTAAAAGGCTGCAAGAGGGATTGTTGAAAGGTTGGGAAAGGAAAACCTTGCTTTAGTAGTTCAAATAGTGTGACTGTTCAGGAAAGCAGGTTAGCAGTGGCTTGTAGCTTTTTTATTTAACATCTGGAGTTGTGCCAAGAAGTGTTAGGTTTCATATATAAAAAGCAGCCTGTATTCATTCAGGAAGTAACCAGGCTTGGTACAAGAAGTCTGCAGGGAAGAAGTTAACAAAGCTCTTTCAACAATTAAGCCAATTCTATTTTCCCAAGTTTTTAAATCCCAATATTTAACCCAGCTCATTCCTGACCAAAAACAAAAGAAACAAGATAATTTCTTGTAGGAACATTGGATGCAAGTGTGTGTGTGTGTGTGTGTGTGTGTGTGTGTGTGTGTGTGTGTGTGTTATACAACGTATGACTATATTTTATGTTTTTATAAAATAATATAAAAATAAGCTTATTTTATAATATAGCCCTCACTGGAAAGTTTACTGTAAATATTCTTTTGAATTTGCAAGAGCAGTATGGAATTAGAAAGTCCTTTCAGATAATACTTTTATTTGTGCAGTTTTTAGACCTATTCTTACAGGTGATATTTCATTTGGAAACATTTTATTTTCTCATTGATTATTTCACCTTGATTTTCTTACCAAAGAATGAGACAAAGATGGCATAATTGTGTACTGCTTTTGATTAATAATGCTTAGAGCTCTTCCTCTGGAAACAATATGAGTTACTACCTATTTTAAACATTTGAAAGTGGTAATTCATTTGAGTTCTGTAGTAACAAGTTCCAGAGACAAATGACTATTGGTCGCACTGTGAAAAACATCTCATGATAATTTAAAGATTAGTAAACCTATTCTGACCTAGGTTCTCATAGACTTGAAATGAGTACTTCATCTGATGAATGTACAGTTACTCCCAGTTTTATATTTACATTGAGATGGTTTGGAGTACAGGAGAAAGAATTCTGGAAAAAATAAAATGCAGAATACAAATAATAACAATCTGAAATAGGTAGAAAGTTCTGCTTCTCATAGGAGAGAGACCCTTTGGTGTCCTCCTGTGCTGTCATTCTGCTCAATAGTTCCAAATATCAGCGTTCCAGAAAGTCCCCAACTCCAAGTAAAACTCCGAGGCAGGCATTTCTCAAAGTTCCAATTTATTAGAGTAGGTATACTGGCACATCTGGGAAAACCCGAATCTGAGGGTTCCAGGTTTTCCCGCAGGAAATCAAAACCCCAAATCCAACCCCTTCACCCATCAGTCTGTCACATGGTCCAATCATCATCCGTCCCAACTTGAGCCATCCCTGCAACCACTCCTCATCTAGATGCATAAACACCATGATCTTGACCAAAGGGAAGAATGCTATTATGTCTAACTACATTCACTCTCCTAAATCCCCCCTCCTACTTTCCCAGGCGCATGGAGTTGGCAGCATGGAAGCTTCTGGTGCTAATATGGCTTCCAAAGTTGACAGGCGTCCGTCCATCCCGTCTCTCCCCCCCTCCCCCGATGGAAAAACCACACTCTGGAAAATAAAATGAACAAAACACAAAAGAGGAGGGTTAACATGTTGTTCATAAACCACTTAACCTCCCCTGCCCCCTCCCGGAGGACCCTTTGGTTTGTCAGGGAACTGGTGCTAATATGGCTTCCAAAGCTAACACCAAACAGTCTGACTCCAATAAGTTCATTATTTCTACTGTGTATAAAAATGAGATAGTATATTGTAATGGACTACTGTGGATTAAAATCCATCTCTTTATGTTTTCTTCTTTTGTTTCTTAACACCTTTGTATCATATATAATATCAAAAAAGTTAGCCTCTGATATAAGTGACTAATACTTTTGAACAGGTGCATATTATTGTTGTACAATAAAGCTACTTTTGTCAACACTGAGCGAAAGAAAAACAGGAGAGTTGGTGGGGGAAAATCACTCTTAATTTTAAATTAGGTAAAAGCTCTGAGCAATGTCAAATAGTATCGTATAATTCTCTTTCAGGTTACAATAGGCTATTGTTCAAGATTAGCACCCAGGTTAGTTTCAGATCTATTCCTAACAACTTGCTTGATTTATGGTGACATTGTTGGCAGCTGGCCTCAGCAGCATTTTACAGTATGCGTAGTCAGCACTTCTAATGTTTATATCAAAGTCATATAATCTGGTTCTTTATGTTTTTCCACTCAGTCAGTGTACTTGCTTTTTATATAGCTATGTGCAAGTTAACCCTTTAGCTCAATATCAGCTCCCCTAACCTGGCACCCTTCAAAAGAGAGGAACTACAGTGAAGCACCCGTCAAGGATGCCAGATGGGGAACTCTCCGCTATTTTATGACACAATATGATGGGAGAACTTTTTAATCAAGAGTTTCTTGCTAGGAAAAAGAAAAGGACAGCCAGAGTAGCCTTCCCTCCATGTTCTTCAGATGGACTTCAACTCCCATAATTCCCAGACAGCCAGGCCACATCAATTTGGGGGGTAAAGTTTGGGTAAAGTAAGTAATTTGGGTAAAGTAAGTAATGGAAGCATGCATCAAAGATTTTTTCTCTCTCTGCAGAAAGTTTGCTTTGGTGTCTGTTTACAGATAGGGGTTTTGCAAGTAGGCAGATAGTCTTTCCATTTTCATTTGTATTGTGCATTTGTTACATATCTGTGCCTTCATCTCAACGCCTCCCCCAACTTGTCCATTGCTTTTTTTTCATCAGAACTTCAGAATAAATGCAATTTGTTAATCATGCAGCATAATGTTTGAATAAGAGATAAGTAGTGATTATTAGGATATATCCCCCCTCCAAAAACAGAATCAGTTTGTGTAGTTATCTGCACATCATTGCATCAGTGGTGGGTTGTCCCTGGTTCAGACCAGTTCACAAGAACCAGTAGTAAAACCAGTGGGAGGCTCCGCCCACCGACCCGGACGTCATCAGGAAGCGCGCAGCCCCGTTGCGAACCCACCCCTGTATTGTATGTT